TACATTGCCTCTGGTGTTAGTTTTGTCTGCCATGTATTTGAAAAAGCTCTTTTTGCTGTCCTTGACCCTTCTCGCCAGGTTTAAATCTAAGGATGCCTTAGTCCTCCTAGCTGCCTTCCTACATCCTCTAGCAGCAGCCTTATATTCCTCCCAAGTGGCCAGCCCCTCCTTCCATGACCTGTAAACTCTCCTCTTCCACTTGAGCATACCCAGCAATTCCCTATTTAGCCACGCAGGTCTCTTGGCCCTCTTCCTTGACTTCCTACGTGTCGGGATGCTCCGATCTTGAGCACGGAAAAAGCAATCCTTGAATGTCAACCAACTATCTTGGGCCCCTTTACCTTCAAGCAGCCTTGCCCAGGTCTCATTAGTCTTTCATGAACTTTCTTGTAGCCAAAAGGAGGGGGAATAAGAACGATGGCTAAATTTGAGCTTGCATACATTATTTTTCATAGACTTACAGACTAATTCAGGCTGGAAGACACCTCCAGAGGCCTCTAGTCTAATGTCCTGCCCAAAACAGCATCAGCTTCAGATCAGACCACGTTGCTTGGGGTTTATCCATTCAGGTCTTGAAAACGCCCAAGGATGAAGACTACACAACTCTGCTTCTTAATTTAGAAATCTGCTTCTACCCCACTTAGTAACACCAGAAAAAAACATTGATGGACACAGTAATTAAAGCTGCAGATACTTGAACCTAAGTAATTTATTATCATTCAGTTCAAAGAACTCTGGGATATGTGGTGAACATGAGCCACATTCATGGTTTTCTTCCCTGCAGAGGGAATATGTTCAAACACTGAATGCTTACTCAGCCTAGATATTATAGAAGATACAATTATATTATTAATCATTCTTTCCTACTCGGGAATTATAAGCAGCACCTTCTTACTGTACTTTCATCCTTCGTGCAGCTTTATTTTGACATTTGTAACTAAGGCAATTTGAAGAATGCTAGAAATCGTTTCACAGGCAATATCAACAAGTGACAATTAAACTGTGATTTTTTTTCCAGTTTTTCTCATTTTTCTGCACCCCTGAGTTTCTTGGGCCAGCTGTTCTGTTAGTTTTGACTGGTCCTGTCACTGAGCAAAGACTTTGAAGGTTTCTCTACTCCCATTTTTGTGTTGCTCTGATTTTGTTGTGTATAAAGAGTTGGAGCAGCACCGGTACAGACTGTGAAATTGTTTATGAAATCTATGTTAAGGACACTGCCATAGCTCTGCTGGTCATTGCTTGGTGAATGGTTAGAGGGTAGCCCAGGGGTCTTCTGTATCCAAACTATGAGTGAGTTTGCTCCTTTCAAAAGTCCTTCAGTTTCCCTTATGAGATGATTTAAGATACTTGTATTATGAAATGAGTGTTTCAATTCATTCTCTTAGCTAGGGATATGCATAACAAGAAAACCCTGAAGTTAAGATGCTGAATTTCACACCCTGTTGTTTGAACATACTTGCTAAGGGGAAATATGTTATCTGAAGAATTGATGTGTAGTCAAAACAGAATTCTACTTGCTTAACATGTTTGAATTTAAACTGCCTAACTTTAAGAGGATCTATATTTTGAATCCAGCTTCCCACATAAACAGTATTTTTACCATTTAAATAAATTTAACTACTGTATTTGTTTAAAGAAACTAGCTGGGTTTTGTATAACAGATGCTGGAAGCCCTCTATTTTGAATATATCCAGTAACTTTAATTGCAATGCCCCTAGACCTGCAGTCTTCCCCTTGGCTGTGTTGGACGCTCCCTGCCCTGCACTTAGCAAGCAGTGGTCAGTGTGAGGGCAGACCAGTGGTCTTGTTGCTCTGGATTCTTTCAATAAACTGCCTCTGGAGAGGAGAGCTTTTAGTGGCATGCTGTAAACTGGGGACAATCATATAACAGAGTGCTGCTGGAAAGCATGTTCTTCACAGTGACGCTGAACTTTGCTTTCACATGCCATGTGAATCTGTGCATCACGCACCTCTCCAGGCATGTGATCCCAAACCAGCAGCATGTTACTTAAAAAATTTGGTCATCTTCTGACTTAAGGTAGCTCATGACTTTTACTTGCTGTAAAAGCAGTTTAAAGTAGCCTGTTTTGAGATCTGAGACACAGTTATGAGTCTATCAAGTTGCCCCAGGGATTGAGGGGTTGGGCTGCTCTGTGCAAAGGGATATACAGTTGTACCTGCCCCCAACTACTGTCCTGCCTCTGAGCAAAATGAGGAAAGTTGGCAGAGCCACAGTGGGGAAAATCCCTTAGGTGGGAAAGACCTTATGGTCTGTGTGCATCTGCACCAAGTATCAGCCACTGCCTGAATTAGTCACAGAAATATAAGCACAGAGCTAATTTTAATACTCAACTTTCTGAATATTACAGATGCAACTGCATGAAGAATATATTTGATGATACACACAGCTGTCTTTTCTGGCACAATAAAAAGTATAGTCTATTTAATGGTGCAACACCATACCAGATATTCAAATTATTTAAAACCATCTTCTTGAAGAAAGCACAGAAAAGGAACAGTCTTGTAATGAACAATCTCTGGGCGCATTGTTATACACATGACAGTAGCTCATAGCACTGAATTTCTCCTTTTTCATCAGCATTATTCTCAGTGAAACACTAATGGTTGTACCATTCCAATTCTTATTTTCTTCAACTGGGAAAACCAGTTTGGAGTGATGATGAATGTAACACTGATTTTAGGAAGCCACAAAGGCCCTGATGTACTTTGGTGTGACCCCTGTTGTTTTCACCCACATGAGAAGTGCACAAGTCAGACTGTGCTTGCTAAACTTTGTGAAGACAAAGTTTAAAATGCTTTTATAAAGTTTTAAAATATTAAGTTCAAGAGACTAAACTATGACACGCTTATTTCCATTGAGAGTCACTGGTGTATTTTCAAGATGTGGATCAACCACCAATATTCTTCAGCATGAAAGTACAATTCCAACTCTTATCAGAAAATGGTTATCAAAAACCAGAGATTGTTGATAACAGCTGAACAGTAGCTGTTCCAAAACTGTCTCATCAATTGAGAGATTAGATGGCACATTATATATAAAAATGTATAGATTTTCCTACAATAATTCAACCAGAGAAGTTTTATAATATAAGCAAAGATATTTAATTCTACAGTTCACCTGTAACTCACAACTTCACTCATGTGAAATGAGGGCAAGGAAAGGTTTTGATATCGTAAATGATATAATAAGTCAGAGTTTGGAGGTTTGTGGGTGATGTGGGCTTTAGGAGAGATTTCTCCTTTTATTACACATATAACTAGAACTGCTACTGAATCAGACAATTATAGATAACCTGTAAGCTGCACAGAAAAAATACAGTATTTCTCACCGATATATCAGTATAAATTTAAATGTCTGTTCCAGATGGTAATTCCTAGAGAGATCCTTTTCCTTACACAAACACATCCACATTATTTCCAAATGTGCAGGGAATGAGTCAAAGTAATTTCTTATTTGTCCCACGTTTCTCCAGCTGCTGCTACACAAATTGTAAACACAATCTTAGTGTACTTCACAATTTCATATGATTGTCAGGATGGGCTACACAGTGTGGAATTCAGAATAGTAAAGTGTAAGCTGCATTATTTCTCAATGAGGGTGTGGAGTTGGAGTGATAAGTGAGCTCGTTTCATGCAAGCAATATACATATCATAATTGGTATTGCTATCTTATTCCTGTATGATATTTGCTTCAGAAGTCATTCTGATGTTACACATTTTCCTCTTGCAACATTTCAGTTTTCTTTATTCTATTTGCAGGTGCATTTGAAAAAAAAAAACTCTGTTAGAAAATCTAAGTATGTGTTAGCATGTATTTCAGTCAGGAAAGGATTTTCTAGGAAATGTTTAAATTGGAATGATCAAGCTATCCTTTAGCGAAAAGAAATTGCACTGGTGGAAGTGTTTGGAGTTCATTTGCAGATTCATTCAACAGCTTATTTTGTCAGTTTATAGTCCCTTGTCTTTTGAGATTAGTGGAAAATGCAGCCCAAGCAGCAAATGCTCAAGGTAGACTGATGCATCTCCCACTCCGGCAATGCTGCACCAAGAACACAGCTTCAAAACTGTATAAAGTGCAAGCTGGCAGGGAAAAGGCAGGGCCCCCCAATACCTCTGCATCGCAGTCACTAAGCTGTAGGGTGAGGCAAACCAGGGATGAATCCAGGCTGGCAAAGGGAAGAAATGAGTTTGATCTAGAACGGCTCTTCATTATGAGCAATGATGCTGGACCAAAAAAGTGGGTGGGAAGAGCCATCTCCATCCATCCTGACAGCAGCATGAATGTAGGTCAATGGAAACGATCCTGAAAGTACAGCTGTCTAGGGTGATGTTGTTCCCTTGTGCCAAGAATGATAGAGTTGAGCTGATGTTTCACCACATCATGAACTCCATCTTCCCTTAGCCCTGCTCCTTTCCTCAGCATTGTACCTGCCATTACAGACAGACAAGTGGGGATTTGAGGGCTAAAAGGAATGCTGCTTGACTTATCCAATTAGCATAAGACAGCTAGCAGGACTGTACAGTATGTGAATGATCATGCATGTGAGCATGGCCGATTAGTGGGGTCTGGCAGAAAAAGGAGATCACCGATGTTTCCAATTAAATGATTTCTTGGGTCTGTCAAATGCGGAGTCCCCGAGGCAATCAGGCACCTCCTAGATGCAAATCTTCCATCTTCTTGTTCCCGCTGCTATAAAGAATAAAGCACATAATCTTGAAAACCAAATCCATGTCAATGCTAACCATCTGAATACAAAACCACATGAAATGGAAACCTAGAAAGCCTCTTTATTATGCATTTTTTCTCAGGGCAGTAAAGAGATGTAGATAAAAATCATTTGCCTTAATGTGTGATATGGTTTTCATTGGTTTTATAATGATTTAAGTGACTTAGACCTCATACCCAGATGGGCAAAACTTTGAAATTGTGGGTTTTCTTTGGGTATGAAAAGTAATGCATTCCTTTCCTCATCTTACAGGGACATCAAACCTGACAACATACTACTGGATGAGCATGGTAAGTGAATATTGACTGCTTTCTCTAAGATCTCTCTAATTCTTGAGATCTCAGTGACAGGCTTTTACATCCTTTGTACATCAACTTCAGGTGTTGATTCCTACCTAAATCTGGACTTCCTTTGCAAAGGCTGTCTGTCCACCTTGAGGGTTTTGTAATTTCCTCTTCTACTGATAAAAGCTACTCTGATATTTGCAAGATGTGAAGAAGAAAAAATTTAGTGTGTATTGACATGTCGAGATCACCAGAGACACCTGGTAAAAAGAAGTTAATATTTTATTAACAGGATTACTGTGAATCCCTATAACCCCTTTTTAGGGGTCTACAAGTAGAACAGTACTAAGCACTTATTTTCTCTTTTAGAACTTGTGAATGGCTAAGAAATTTCATAGAGCAAATTATTACTCATGTAGATCTCTGAAATTGCTTTCCTAAATTTAGATATGGAATTTAGAAATTTACCTCTAAGTCTGCAAATATTTTATGACTCTGCATATTCTGGTTTAAATAGCATAAAAAAATTATGCTATTTAATTATACAACATAATCCGCTTTGAACTTTCAATACTGATTCCATGATCTCAAACAAAAAAAGTGTGGTATGAAAAAAAAGCAGCTAATTTCTTGAAAAATCTGACACATACAAGCTATCTATGAAGTATTTTGCTAAAACCTCGTGCATCTTTTCTCAATTATTCATAGGAAGAACATGAGAAAATGCAGGTAAAGAAGGCCTTGTATCAGTCAGAACAGAAATGTGTACCAGAGAAAGACTAAATAGAAAAAGGAGATGTATGTTTGCTACTGCAGGAAACTCTTGTTGTGCTTTGTTCCCCACAGAAATTGATTAAAAGGAGTTAATCTTTGAGAAAATATAAACTTGAAATGATGCCAACATTAGCATTATTTTTCAAAACCCATTGCAGGGTTGCTGTGTATACCAGTTAAAGTTGATTAAAGAGGTAACATTGCAAACAGCTGGAGTTTGTCCCTGGGAATATGGAAGCCAACAAAGCTAAATAATTTTGGAGTTTTAAACCATTTAGAACTTCAGGAATTTAATGTCTCAGACCCATCAAGGTTAACATTCCCCAGACACTGATACCAGCAAATAAGCATGAAACAGAAATCTCTTGTCTTTAAATCCTGGGTGAATTAAAGATGTCAAAGGCAACATGAAATTACTATGAGTGTGTTAAATCTCTGATTGACAGCCTTTGAAGTAAGATTGCTCTTATCTCTCCTTGCCCCTCATCAAGGTCAATTATGGCACACAATTACGCTCTCGCTAGAGCTTTCCTATGGGGGCTCAAGTACTGCAGAGTAGAAGCTACACCAGAGTGAGCGGTATGCTGCAAAATGAAGGTCTTTTGGTGATTATAAGTTGTTCAGCAACAAAATTATCTGCAGACAGCATGAAAATTTGGGGATGGATAGCCCCTTTTCCGCAAAGCAGCAGAATATTGCTCCCTTATAGCACACCTGCAGACAGGTGGTGAAACAACCATGCTGCTCCAGACTTGCAGACAGACCTTGGTCAGCAGAATTAATCAGCTCGTGGATCCTTGCTTCACAGACCTGTTATGTGGATAAGGGTCTACACACCTCAACTCACTAAATGAAGGGACACTAATTGAACAGATGTCTGTATCCTACTTGTCATCACAGGCTTCTTTTACAGATAACTGAAAGACAAAGACACGTTTTAGGTAATCTGATCTATTTTGGATGTGTGCACTACACGTCAGTGTCTATTTCTGTTTAGTGACTAATACCAAAATGTTTTGAGTAAAGATACAGATACCCACCATACAGATGTACATTTTGCAAGATGAAGGCTATCCTTGAAGTCTATAAAAGCTTTTATTAATCTGCAACATTGTAAATCATTGGATTTCACCTAATGGAAAAATGTGTTGAATAATATGTACACCATATATATGCTGTAGAGGAAGCGTAACAAATTAACCTAGTATGAGGCTAACCAGGTGCACAGGAAAGAGCTTTATTTTAGCCTGTGGCCTCTGATATGGCAGAACAGTTTCCTGTATGCTTGACTTTACCTCTAGGTCTTTCTTACAGTTCATTAAACAAGCTGTGCTTACACAAGGTATTATGGAATTGGATATGCACAACATTTAGGACTGTGATTTTGTCTTAGTGAGCTATATATCTTTGACTTCACTGAAGAAACCTATTTTGGCTGAATTGTAGTGGTATGCCATTCACATTGCCTTACATCTTTAAGCAGTTAAATAAACTGACTTTCATAACATATACCAGGATTATAGATCATAGATATTTCTGATCGTTAACACTAATTTCACTGCAGTTTATCTCTACAGTTTAGGGAACATAACTCAGGAATACAGAAGTAGTGAAACAGGAAATTTTTCTTAAGCCATGAAAATCTAAAGTACAAGTAAAGAATATGAAAATGCATACAACATACTCCAAATAATTCTGGCAGAGGAAGCCTGAATTTTCCCATGCACTTCTCAGCAAAGCCACGTCTCAACACTGCTGAGCACAGGTTCTCATGCATCAGTGGAAATAAATGATCGATAATCATGAGAAGCATAACGCTACATGAAAATAGGGTAATTAGCTGCTTAAAATAGTGTTCAGTCCCTACCAGAAGATGATTGCCTGGTCTCCTGGAGAGATTCTTTACCTTAGTGTGTTCTCTGAGTAAGAAAAGGGACGATTTCAGGGTTCACTCTCTGAACTAGAATCAAATGGAAACTGGTGCTGTCCATAAAGCTCTTTGGTAATGTTTCCCTCCCAGCTTCCCCAGAAAGCTCTTATGACTAATTCTAATCCCTAAATTTCATAATAGTGCTCTGTTCTGCTAACATGCATCTGAAACAGAATTATTCCAGTGATAGCTGCAGGGATTACTTGGTGGTTCAGAAGAGCTATTATCATTGTACAGAGAAAAGTATTATAAAACTCTCTGAATAACAACATTCTGCTTCCTCTACTATTCCTTTCATTTTAATGGTTTAGAACAATATAACTGAAATAACAGCATTTAGAGCTGAAAGCTGGACAGTCTGGTCCATGTTGCATTATTTTCCTGAAATATCAAAGAAATTAAAGACTTCTTTAAATCTTTCCGTGATCCATGATGTCTAAGGAGATGTAGAATGCCTAGAATGGAGAAAAACAAGCAATAGCAAACAGATTAGTATGCTCTCTTTTTTCATAGAATCATAGACTGGTTCTCCTGTTTAAGTTTAAACCCACTACTTCTTGTCCTATCTCTACAGTCCCTGATGAAGAAGTGATAATGTTATAGCTATTTGTTAGCACCACTGATATTAACATTTCTGGTCATTCTTCAAAAATTCTGAGGCTCTACTTTGGCATCCAGGTTTTGCATTGTGCAGAGTGACCACACCATTAATACACTCTTTTCACAGGAAATCCTCAAGGGTTCGATTTCTTCCCAAGCAAGTTTTTCAGGACATCATTTCATAAGACCCAGCAAGGTCCCTGCTTGGTTTACGGAGGAATAACCCCCTGCTGGGTCAGACCCAAGCCCTCAGCTGGCATTCTGTCTGAAGCAAGGTCAAGAAGAGATAGATGCTATTCGTGGAGTGTGCTCTTTGCCACTTAGTCACCAAATGCTTCAGTGCTTTCTATCACACACAACTTTCATATTAAGATATTAGAGTATGCCTGTATATTCCCTTTAGACTCTGGGTGAATCTTTCTTAATGAGTGAGTTTGTCTACTGCCTCTTTGAAGCTGCTACTGATACTGGCCTCCACAACCTCCTGGAGCAACATGCAGAAGTGCACCATCCTTCATCAAAGAAAAGTGGTTTGTGTGCTTTGAAACATTCTTCTCTCAAAAAAAACCCACAACCTTCTACTTCTAGAATTGTAGGATTTGGTGAACAATATCTTACAATCATAATATTCATGATATTAAAAAAAACTCCTTCAACTGAAACGCCTCAGCCTTTTTAATTTCTTATAATACACTGGCCCAGTCCTCTTGCCACTCTCTCTTGCTATAGGTACTGTTGCAGACATGCAAGCTTTCAGTTTCAAAGCAGAAGAGCAACCATATTGGATCATCTGGATGATTTTTTTTCTCTCCAAGAGTCTCCAAAAAGTGAAGGACAGAGCATCACCTAAAACAAGTTTTTGTGGTGCTTCCCCCATGTACTCACCCAGCCTTCAGCTCTTTGTGACTGAGGCATGTCCATCCAGTTTCTGAACATTTCATAACTTTCAGTGTCCTTTTCCATGCTCTTTTCTGGTGATTCCTTGAGTGGAGGGAACGTTTAGCACCCTGTGCTTAAATAGAAATTATGTTAAGACTCACTACTTGTTTGTTAATTTTGATGGTGCCACCTCTGACGGCACCAAATGTCCGCTGGTGGTTCTCCATATTGACATCAGAGACCTAATACTTCACTCTTAGACTTAATAAGAATAATCCCATTTTATTAGGGTTGGGGGGGGAGAGGGTTAGTCTCAATTTTTGCATCTGGCAGTGATAATTTTACTCTGTAATCATTTCTCTAATGAGACAGCAAGGCAGATTTAAGCTGGCGTTCATATGTGCCTTATTATATATGATTATATTGCTTTATGATCCCCAAAGTTTTCCTTAGAACTATATTTCCTTGATTACATGACAATCTCAGCTCTCATTTTAAAAATAACAGCAAAATTGAAATATTCAGCTAATGAGCAATCTTGGTGCTAAACCCAAAAAATAGGATGAAAAAATATCATAAATTCAATATTTTGAACCTCAATATTAGCTTCTGAAGAACTGAACTGGCAACATTGTCACTGGGTAGTGATGTCTGGGAGACAAAGTCTTCACTGAAGATGTACCTAGTGTGTCTCATCAGGGCCTGTCCTTATCATACCTACACTCAACTTTCAGGCACTATATCTCATTTAACCCTCCAACATTGATTAACAAGATGAATGCTCTCAGCATAATTAATCTTTCTGAAGCTACCTACACTTTGAAAATATATTTGAATATATGCGTACATGGCCATTATACAGCCTACCCCCTTGAAATTCACGGCCTCGCTGAACCCATCTATAGCAATACAATAAGATTTTTAACTATCTCCCTGGTGGTAAGTGGCAGACTGCCAGTCATGCTAAATTCATATAGATGTGAGCTACACTCTTCTACATAGTACAGATGAACCTAGAGAGAGGCTTTTTAAATTGTTCATAGGGTTTGAACTTTTGAGGCTGAATTTGCTCCAAAATGTTACTATGTTGAGATTTCCCATCAGCCCTGATTCATGCTGAGTTAATGGCATTAACTCCAGTCTGGTATTTCTTCTCTTTGCCCTCCCATTCACCCCTTTGGTTTCAACCTCTGAGTAATTCAGTGAGGTTTGAAGTCAAGTACATTTTCCTCTGCTAAATGTCAGTCAGCCAGCCTGACTAACACCATTTAGTTAGCCACTGTTCAGGACTTGTTTTAATCATCATTAGGATTTGTTCAAAACTTAAATAATAATCTGAAGATCATTTGCTGTTTGCCTGAGATACTGAGATTTCAGGCCACATGAAAAAGTGAGGCATAAAAACCGCTTAGGAATTCTGAAGTGCATGCATAAAGCTTCTCAAAGTCATACACTGTGCTGTAGATATTAACTTACAAATTTTCTCTGTTAAAAACTTAACTGGAAGCTGACTGCAGGAATGCAATTTCTGAAAAAATTTCCACTAAGATACTTCCCACTTGCAATATGCATGTTGATGTATGCGAAATCTGCAGTCTGGGATGATCTCAGAAAGCCACTCTACAGAGAGTCAGAGGAATGTGGTCATTTGCCTTTCCCTCCTCTCCATCACCATCTTATTACCAGATGGGGTCATGCAGCCGTGGGAATTAAGTAATGAGCTCTTTCCCTGTGAAACTTGAATCTAGTTAGGTATTGCTGAATCTGTTGTGCACTGCTCTGCTTCACAGCTCTTAAAAGATAAACCCAAGCACACTGACATACTGCTCAGTTCAATATTGCACCAGGGTACAAACTTGGTTTTGACATTTCTTTCATCACAGTAACATCCAGAAAGGGAGATCAAGTACAAGGTGTGAAGCTCAGGTGGGAACTAGTCCCCATGAGCTGAAATTCTGGAACCAGCATGAAGTAGCCAGTAATTAATATCTCAGCATATTCACTGCAACAATAGCAACATTTCCTTTTCCTATATGCAGCAGCTGCAGTAAAAGATGTCTTAGAAGCTGATTCGAAGGACTCCTACAGAGAACTGGGGTCTGTCTCTTGAAATATTCACACCCAAAGTGAAAATTTAAAAGAACCCAAACAAACAAAACAAGTCACTAGGCTTAAAAGAATTGAAACCATTCAGTGGTTTGCCTTGATATCCCTCCATCCCTCCTCCTCTGCCCCCGGGCACAGGGGTTCACCCCCTGTTCTGACTCCATCCCAGACAGAGCCTCTGTCCAAGCCCCCAGCTCCCACCAGCTGCTGTGCACAGCCCCTTAGGCAACAGTCATCTGCCTGCCTTGGGGATGCCTTCCTTTCCCTCCATAGCCGATTAGAGCAACAGGAAAAGGCTGCCTGCAGGCAGACCATGGGCCGCGAGTGGTCCTATGATGGGGAAGAACAAAGGTGAAGTTTTTCCAGTGGTACAGACACGGCTCTGCTCTGCCCTACTACATGTACAGGAGCTGCCCACCGTGGCTGTGTCAGCAGCAGGATGCAGAGAAGCTATGCACAACCCAATCCATTCCTTACCTGGAAGAAAGGCATTTTTAACAAAAACCATCAGTCAGTGTATACAGTATTTCACGTGTGCTATTTTGGTTTTGTTAAATGAAAAGAAACCTAATAACTGGGAAAGAAAACAATGCACTGCAGGAGAGGCAATTTTCATTGCAAATCAACTATTTGGATCAGTCTGAATGGATATTATGTGATAGATGTTTTGCAACAGGCTACCATGCTGGCATTCTAATAGGGAGCATCACTTACAATGCTGTCATTTAAATGACAGGACTTTATATTTATCTCTATAAAACACAGTTATCTGTCAAGAAAGAAGAAAGTATTAGTCTGCTAAGATCCTTGCAGATTTTCATTCTACGGTGTACACAGAATTGCTTAAAACTACTGTCATGAGGTTTCTGTATGTGGTTCAATTATCATTTTCAAGAATCCTTCTGCCATGGTGTTTTATTACTGCAAAATAAACTGCAAACATGCTACACTCCAGCCACCAGGAAGGAAGAATGCTACCTTGAAATCCAGTGGCAGTCTTGGCTGTGATTCTTGTTATGGCAGCCTAACACTTCCCTCTCCTTATAAAGTGATTGCTTTCCTTTTTGCACAGTTTTTGTCTGCTGTGAGCAGATGCCTTCCTGTGCATGGGTCTTAAGAAGGAAGAAATTGTCAATAAAATGCAAGCATTTTTATTGAGAAAAGTGCAGAAATCATGCAAACCATTTCATCAAAAACTTCTACTATGCCTCCTGTTTGGAGAAATAGCTTTAAGTGCAGCAGTGTGTCGTGCTAAATGCTCCTTTCTCCCTTCAAAACCAGCTCAGGTCTGGACAAATTAGGGGCCTCTGAGAATTTTGGTTCACATATGCATAGCTGCAGACTTGTTAGAGGTTGGCAGATAACGTTTCCTGCAGACTTTGAACATGATCTAGGTTAGATTGTCAGAGCAGCATAATCTTTTGCTGAGACTGCTGTTCCTCTGTCAGGCACCACGGTAACATTCAGCATCAGTCATTCTTTACACTCTTTTCACCTTTGACAGCAAGCATGATAACAACCTCACTGCCTTAACACCTGCATCATGCCCAAAGCTTGCTCCATTCTGTGGACTGAATGAGGTCGAGATCTTGATCACACACAAAAAAAAAATCACAAGAACTTGTCAGTCAAGACTCTGGTTCAACACATTGATGAATTAATCCTGATCTGAGTGCAGGGCTAGGGAGAAGGGAGTACTTTTCCTGTACTCTGTCTTCCACAATGGCATTGCCAGATGTAATCACAGAGAGAGCAATATCTGCATCACTCCACCACATAAAACTAGTCCTTAAGCAGAGATACAAAACCTAGCAGCTGACTTACTGAATTAAAAGCCTGCAGTTTTCAGGCTGGATTTATGTTCAGTTTACCAGGATGAACAATTATTGCTTCAGTTTAACCTATGTTCATCAGAAACTACCCCAGGAAAAAAGTAATGACAGCAGGTTTGGGCCATCCAGCCTGATTAGCTCAGTTTAGTCAGCTGTCTGGCTGGCCAGGCAGAAAGTCCTGAGGCTGACTTCTGTCACCTATCTTTCATCTTGCAACCTGCTGTCGAATGAGTGATCATTTGGGACCTGCTGCTGTTAACATACACTCTCTCCTGCTACCATAGATCTAATTTTATAGTTATTGTATTATAAAAATACCCTTTCTCTTCTCTGCTCCCTTTTTGCCCTGAGGAGACTTAGAAAAAGCCAAGCTGATGTTAACATGATGTGGATGTGACAGCAGACAGGTGTCACAAAAACCTAAGATTGTGAGGTATCCTCTAGCTGAGGATAAGGAGATTTCATTCTCTTGACTGCTGCTGCTTTGAGAAGCCAGTTATTGTTTTCAATGCTCATGGCAGGAGAAGATTTAGGGGTGCCCATCAAAAAAGGTTCAGCACTGTGAGCAGGTAGTGCTCACAGTTTGTATGCAACCATACAAAAGAAGTGTTCCATCACTTAGCTGCCAATATGATATTTCTAATTATGAGTAGCATTTAATAGCAAGTTTCCATGAACTGTTATGGGTCTTTCCAATTTAATTTCTATTCAGTATCACTTAAATGTTAAATGAAGGAAGGAATTTTTTTATGATGTGCTATTTTAACTTCAGTTTTTACTTTGTGTAATTGCAGGACATGTTCATATCACTGACTTTAACATAGCAACCATAGTGAAAGGCTCAGAAAAAGCATCTTCTATGGCTGGCACAAAACCCTATATGGGTAAGTTTTCAAGACCATTTAAAAGCATAAGAAAGTCATACATTAAGATTGACAAATGGTATATTACAATGATTTTAAGTGGTGAGAGCATAAAAATAAAGGTACTTAGGTTTTGGGTTTTTTTTTGTCAGTATTTATGTGTTGACAATGGAAAACACTGGTGATGGAGGGATGGATGGATCAGGAGCTTGGCCTTTATGCTTCTTCGAGTCAGGTTCTGTTTGGTTTTGTGAAGCAAATTCAGGAGATTTTCAACTGCATTACTTCCTGCAACCCCCCACATCTGGAGGCAAGAATATATGGTTATATTTGCACCACTATGGACGTGATCTAGCAAAGAACATGTAATGCCAGTTTAAAAGTATCTAGGCACATCCTTAATTACTTTGCTATGTTGACTTTCTCAAAAGCATGTCTGTTTAAAATTAGAGTTCTATGCAACTAACCACTTAAGTGCTTCCCCTGTGGCTCTTAGGGGCGTTTTATAAGTTTTACTTATGTATTTTAAATGCATAGGTAGATTTAAGACTAGAGGGGTAAAATTCAGTTTAACTGTCCTCATGTGTCTTAAAGTTAAGCATCTTGGATAAGTTAATAATTCAAGTTTCCTCTGGAGCTGAAGGACAGAACGCATCTCATGAGGATCATTTCCATCAAAGTTAGGCTAGCTTTCATGGCTAAGAATAGGTGTGATTTATCCTGTTTGTGGCTTCCTACATATCTGCTGGTTCTGTCTTTATATGGAATTCTCATTGATGTGGTGACTGGCTTAAACGAAACATATTTTGGTTCTGGAAACTGTACTAAGAGATATGTGTATCTCCAAGAGACTTTCTCTAGCAGACATGCTCTGAGCACACCCAACACCCATGCAGTTGTAAAATATTAGTAAATGATTATGTTCGGAAAATGTCACTTGGGGATCAGGAGGTCACTGTGTTACTACGCTGTGAATATTAGCAGAGGAGTAAAAGCATGTGCCGAAGAAACAGGAATTAACACTTATTTATTTCACAGTACAAAGAGGTTTGTACTAACCTTCACATGAAGCAGGCAGATGTCTGCAGGGTGCTACAATATGAGCTGTGAGACTGTGTCAGAGCAGTCCCAGGCACTGAAGCAGTTGTGTTTTCAAATATGATGTGATTTTTTGTCATGAATCAATAGTTAACTGGAGTCTCTTGCCTATGAGCAGCTTGTTCACAGCCATCCTCTCTTGGCAGTTAATAGGATGCAATAACAAGTGTGTGGGCACACTGTGCCCCTTGGGCTCAGGACCAACGAACTGACCTGACACTGGCTAGTTTGCTCTTAGAAATTTACTCAAAACAGACTAAGAAACGTTTTATGTAGTCCTGACTCAGGCACTGACGTTATACAGAGGACTGAGGTTGTAGATTGACATTTTCTCAGCAGTTTGTGTTAGTTAGCATTAGCTGAGTGTCCAGCTCAGTGTCTCTGCTTAGATGAGATGGTCAGCACTGCACAGGCATTGGATGCAGAGCATTAGAAAATTAAGTCTTCATACCGAGTTTCCCCTCAGGGTTGGTACCTGAGTGTTTGATGTTGCACCACAGGTTCCCTATTCATTGTGATGAAAACAGAGGAGAAGGGATGCCGAAACCTCAACTACACCAACTGCTTTCATTTAAAAAGAACTTGCTTGAGCATTCTTGCCAATATGTGGTAGGTTTAATTATAAAAACAAACAAGCCCAATAACAACAAAAACCCACAACCAATGACAAAATAAACACATGCACAAAACAAACTCAGGAAAAAAGCCTTTTTTGTCTACAAGTAATTTGACCTCCCCCTGACGCATACAGACAAATAGCTGTATGACTGACGTGTGAAACTGTTCACATTCACCTAAGTGCCCTTAAATACAGGCTGACTGAAAAGTTAAAAAATTCCACCATTTTTGATATGGTAGGTTTGTATTTCTCTAAACAGCTTATTTCCTGGAGCTTGTATGTTCTGCTTAAATAGCTGCCTAGAATCTAGTAGCAGCCATTGTCATTAGATGTGCAAATTCCTATTGCACAGGTTGTTCAAAAATCTGCTTGAAGAGTGGCCATTTTGCAGTTCAAGTCCAGAATAGGTGTTTTCCCTATTTAACTGTGGTGATGACAGCAGACAACAGCAACAGTTCTTTCTGAGATTTAATTTGGTAAGCAATTAAATGACTGTTTTGATGGTGTTACGTTTTTGATCTTGAAGGGGTTTGTGCAGTTTTATGTTATGAAGCATAATTATTATGAAAGCAGAAAAAAGCTGAGTACTTGCTTAGGGGTCAGTTAGCATTTTAGCATCTGTCTGTCCTAGTCTGAATGTGTGTATTCATCTGGCAGCTTAATGATCAGAAGCACGTTAGTTAAAACAAATGTACAAAAATATATGTTAACATTCCTCAAGTATTTTGCTGAGAGTTAACAGGAAATTTAGCGTCCTTTGGAGCGTCTTTTAGACTGTCCACACACATCAGTACACCACCACCTTCTTACTTCATTAGTGGTCTCTGTTAGCAAGCTTCTCTCACAAGGAAAAAACCTAGCTTTTAACAACAGAAAGCACAAAAAGCTGTAGCAAGTACTAAGTACTGGAATTTGGTATTTTAAGGTTAAAATTATGAAAAATGGTCTCATCCTTTTGGAATTCCTGCTTTCCACCACCACAAGGCAGAGTAACTTGTTCTTTGTGTAGCTGACATTTGCCAAGAAGTGGTACAAGGGAAGAAATGCTGAAATTCTTTAGAAAATGTATATTTATTCTTCATCTATTCAGTGCAGAGATAATAAAGACCTTGCTTAAACTCTGCTTGTGTTCCTTTCCACAGTATTCTCCATGACAGAAAATGCCGGAGTCCTTGTATTTAGTAGGAAAATACTCATCTCAAGGACAGAGTATGTCCTTCTTTTGCGGCTAATAAGGTTAGCCATATTGTTTTGCAATTGCTCTTCAGTTTAGCATCATGGCAAATCATTACTCTAAGTCTGCACTGTGGTAGACATCTGGGCCTCTTTCCTTCTCAGGAAGCTAAATGACCTCGTGGAGGGTTCCTGTTAGAGCCCAAGCTGACCCAAAGAAGGAAGTAAACTACAGACCTGGAGCAGGGGGAAGATAGGAGATGGGGACAAGTTCTTATCTTTGCATGCTAATGAGCTGTTGTCTTGGTTGCCCTCAGGTCATGCAGCCACTCTGCCCCTGAACTCTTCTCTCCACTCATCAGGTCTCCTCCATATCCAACAATCTCACAATAAAAAAGAAACAGTACAAGAAAAATGCTCTCTTTCCCTTTATGGAGAGGCACCATCCACCAGCTTACTTTCTCTCCAGTGTGTCTTCCTCACCTCTTGGAAATGCAAGTATACCACAAAAGCTACCAAGAGTCATCCTTGCATTTACTTGGAGCTGTAAGAAGGCAAAAAAACCTTTAGAAGTGTAAAAATCTGGCTTAGGTGACAAGTAATGGGTGAAGATTTTCTCAAATCATACACAGCTTGAGTATCAAAGCTTCAGCAAACCTCAAATACTAAGAGTTTGACAGATATGGCCAGATACTCACCGGTGCTACCACCATTTAGATAATAAAATAAATAATAATTTTTAAATAATTAGGGAGGTTGGCAGTAAGCTTTCATTATCAGGAATTTAAGCTTCAGGACAAAATCAGCTTCAAGCAAGGTACTTGCTGAGCACCAGAACTGGGGCATCTTAATGGTTCCTTTAAGACATGCCTAAAGCTATGCTTGTATTTGTGATGATGAAGGTATGAGATTTGATGAAAGTTTTTCTCCTGTCTGGAGGTCTAATTCCCATGTGAATCTAGTTATGTTTAATCAGATATGAGGGCACTCTCCAGCTTTTCCCTTAGTAAAGCTACCTATTGCCTATTTCTTCCCAGGGCAAATTTAAGGAAATCAACAGAGAAATGCTCTCTCTAAAGACCCCATTCCTATTTGAAATCTGATTGAAATAGGCTTAGAAATTGCTAGGGAGCAATTTTCTCTCATGCAGCATGACTGCATAAAACTGGTGTCCAGGAAAAAACCAGTGAATTGATATTGTGTTGTAAAAATGCACTAGCTGTTCTGATTAAGATACCTATCTCATAATGCTGAGCAGGGTGCAAGTCAGCTCCAGCAGCCTTTGCTTAATCCCACTTCACATTAGCTTTTTTGCCCCTAAGTCTTTCTCAGCCTGAAATTTTCCCTGCCTATTTTCATACTTATACAGAATGCAATGCATCTGAACCTGAATGTTTCTCTAGAAACCCTGGTCGTTTCTCTATGTTCCCTCTTCCCAGGTGATTCATTCAGACAAGTGAAATACCTGTCACGCATAGGCAGAAAAAAACTACACGGATAAAGGTGAATCTGAAAAGAGTGAAGCCAACAGCCTGGCAAGACAAGCAACTTCCAGCTGCTTCTGCAGTTTTACTTCTCAAAGCCATTGACCTGAAAAGTTGAAGGGAAATCAGCTTCTTGGTGTTTGGGGGTCTTCTGTCTCATACTGTTCTAAAGGCCGCAGCCGTGAAATACAATATGTGCCTTCAGCTGGTGTAGGAAATTTGTGTGTCACCAGTGCCTGGTCTTACCGTCACAAATTCACTGCTTAAACCTTCTGCAGCACCTGCGATTGAGGGTGTTGTCAAAGATTTTATTGCAGGAGCAGCCCTTTGAAAACTCAGAATTTTTCAGGCTGTCATCCTACTCTGGCAAGCAATGCAAAATCAGACCTACCTGGCTTTGAGCAGGTATGGATGCTGCCAAAAAACAAACACACCACTTGTGGGGGAGCATCTCCACTCTGCATCAGGATGTGAACCAGGAAAGCCAGTGCAGGGCAGGACACAGTGTGTGTTTACCTGGTTGGAAGCACCTGTGTGTTTGCCATTTGCAACACTGTTCCATCTATTTCTTATATTGGTTGCTCATAAAGCTGCAAGAAATATGTTTGTGTCTCAGAGAATGTGCCCTGGGCTGGGCACCCATTTGC